AGTGGCACGTAAACATCCACAGAGTGAGGTCGGCCGTGATGGCACCCCACTAAATGTCGGTAATGACATTGTTGGTGATTCACCAAGTCATCACGAGCTATGCTCAACAGATGCGAATATAGTGGATAACTGTCCACAGAGTGAGGTCGGTCGTGATAGCACCACACTTAATGTCGGTAATGACATTGGCTCTCAGAGAGAGCAGGTCGAAAGTGGAGATAATCTTCACCTCGTGGAACCGGATGTTCCTAACACGTTGAAGTGTTTAGTCACTGCACAGAGACGACAGCGACGCCAGATTGCGGCTTTTAAACCAAAAGGCATCCACCGTGTCCCAAAACGATACCAGTGAACAGTTGTACACATTGGTCAATGAAATGACGGGTGATATTGACGGAGAAGTTGGCCTCGAGCCCTCCCATCACTTAACGCTTCGTTAGATCTGGATGAAATATCTGTCGATGAATTTCATCAGGCCTTGAGTGCTGGTGCTTTATCTGATATGGCGGTCCTCAGACCTGACCTTGAACTCGTCATTTCATTTGGAAAAAACCAGTCCTTGAGGACATTAAAGTTGCACTCAGTGCTCGCGTGGATCTGCTATTTTGGAGGATCCTTCGGATCCTTTCTACTTCCTGGTTACGGAATTTTATGATGGGGTGTGTCATGATCCACTATCCACTCTACCTCCCGACGGAGGTGTGTGTCATGAGATTGACCTGGTCCCTGGTACCAATATTGTTTTACAATCCAAAGGCCGTTGCCTAAAGAACAGTGTGATGTCATTGACGAGTTCTTTCGTGAAAAGCACGCGGCAGGCATGGTGCGGGAGAGAAAATACTCGCATTCAACACCGACATATTGTGTCAGAAAGCCTAATGGTAAGTGGCGTATTGTGCATGCTTACAATAATCTTCACGCAGCCACTATATTGGCACAGAAACCTGTTCCTAAAAAGGATGTTCTTTAGAACGCTATAGTTGATGTACCATATTCAGTGCACTCGACTTGATCGATGAGTATGACCAATTGGTCATGCGAGCGAGTGATACCCCGCTCAAAGCGGTTAGTACGTCGAGCGGCATACTTTGGAAATGGTTTGTTATGCCTCAGGGCTTTCTATTGCCCCCGACCGCTTTTAATCGTCTTGTGACGCAGTTGTTCCGCCCTCATAGAGGATATGCACAAAGCTATTTTGATGACACTTTGTCCATAGCCGTGCAGAACAAGGAAGACTAGATGTGGAAAATCACATTTATCATTTACGAGCAGTGCTCGGGTGCATGCGCACAAACAAGCTGTATGCAAAAGCATCTAAATGCATTTTTGGTGCTGAAAGTTTTTCTTTATCGGGTGTTTCATCGGAAAGCGCGGCCTACGGGCAGATCCTGCTAAGGTAAAATTCATTGTGGATTGTCCAATTCCGTTGAAACAAAAAGACTTGCGTAAATGGCTTGGTTTAGCCAATTACTTACATAAGTATAGTGCAAACTATGCTGACATGGCAAGGCCCCTAACTAACCTCCTTTAAAAGGACGCGGTTTGGTGTTGGGACTCGGTTCAGGCACAAGCTTTTTAAGCTGTTAAGTATGGTCTCCTTCATGCTCCAATTTTGGCTTTGCCTGACCCGGAGCAACCTTTCACTGTCGTCTGTGACGCATCAAATTTTGCCATTGGCAGTGCATTGTTGCAAACTGATGTCGATGGACATGAACGAGTCATCGCGTACGAGTCTCGCCAGCTAAAAGCTGCTGAAAAGAACTATCGAGTTCACGATAAAGAGTTACTCGCAATGAAAAATGCTGTTGTCAAGTTCAGATTCCACATACTTGGCTCCAAGCCGTTTGTAATCTACACGGATCATGCGTCATTGCGCACTGCGACCCAGTCGCCTCATCTCTCGCAACGTATCGCCCGTTGACTTTATTCTTTGCTGAGTATAACTTCGAGGTGAAGTATAAACCAGGGAAGCAACATGCTTTGGACGATGCGTTGTCATGCAGGCCGGATTGTGAGCTTGCTCATGTTACGACTCTGTCGTCTTCTATTCCTGAGTCAATCCGTGCGGCTTATGCCAAGGATGATCAGTGTGTCGCGTTGTTACGCGCACACGATTGTGATGAGTCCAAAGACTCGGACATAAAATTGTCGACACGCTCGCGTGCAGGGCTGTATCGAGATTCTTTCAATCATGCCCTCTTGTGCTATAGCACGAATGAGGCGGATAATCCGCGCATCTTCGTACCTCATGATGCGGAACTGAAGAATAGTATCCTCTTTGAGGCGCATGATACAGTTTTTAAGCGTTCCTCTCGGTCCAGAAATACATTTAGCTCGGTTAGCCAACACTATTGCTGACCCAAATTATTTAAGTGGGTGAGCACATATGTGCGTACGTGTGAAACGTGTCAACGGGTCAAACCCTCCACTCATGCGGCTGCGCCTTTGGCGAGTTAAACTGTTCCCACTAGGTGTTGGGAATCCATCAGTATGGACTTTGTATTTGGTCTACCGAAAGATTCGGATGGAAACACTGGTATTGTGGTCTTTGTTGACCGTTTGAGCAAGATGACTCATTTAGCGGCTGTACCAGACTCGATCGATGTTGAACGTACAGCAGCTGTTTATTGATCGGGTGTTTCGTCAACACAGTTTGCCAGTGGCAATTGTTTTCAGAACGTGATCCTCGGTTTACCGGGAAATTTTGGAAGTCTATATTCATGGTGCTAGGCACCAGATTGGATACGTCCACAGCGGATCATTTGCAGAACTATGGTCAAACCGAGAGTGTTAACCGCGTTATTGGTGATATCTTGCGCAGCGCGTGCGCTGATACGCCTCTGCGTTGGAGATCCATGCTCCCGGTTATCGGATTCGCGACGAACAACTCGGTTTATGCATCGACTGGCTACACCCCGTTCTATGTGAACGGCCTAACCCTTTTGCGCGTCCCATTGACGCTACCACTCCGTGAGTCAGTGCTTGTTAGGGGATGGATCGCCAATAGGCTTGCTGGTGTCAGCCCTGCCACTGTTCATCAACAGGTTGGTGAGTTCCTTGCAACAAGGTTGAATGTCTTATAATATGTGCCGGACTCAATGGCTGATAGCGAAGATAAACAAACAGAAAAAGCAGATAGAAAATGAAGATGTTGCATTGAAAGTTATAAGGTCAGAGACCAAGTCTTGCTAAACGCTAAGAACCTGCCTACAAAATGTAGTGTCTGATGTATTTAAGACGAAGTTGCGTCCGCGCTTTATCGGACCTTTTACGGTCGTGGACAATAAGGACCTTGCGTATACGCTAAGCTTACCGCGCAAATTGCGTACACATCCCGTATTTATGTCGGCCTGCTTAAGCCGTACCGGTACCCGTCCCATGTTGACTTGAAGGTGCTTGCGCCGCGTACATTGGTGTTGCCACATGATGTTGCATCTGTATCAAGAGATCAAGCTGTGCTTCAGCACGAGTCAGACGTGTCTTCATCGCCCGAAGACGGGCGTGATCGCCTTCAAGCGTCGGCAGACGATGCTTCTCTTCGTACAAATCATGTTAGGCTTGACTTCTCTGAGAGTCTCACGGAGGATGTTCAAATCTTTCGACAGATTCGAGTGGCTCTCAGCCGATACACCGACAACTACCAGTGTTGCTTGATAGTCATGGGAACTTCCAGTTCCATGTGAAGAAGTTACATCAACGACTTCGTCATCATGCTCACTAGCAATACCTGGTAAAGTGGTGTGGGTATTCCGAGTCTGAGAACTCATGCGAGTATGAGATAGCCTTTCGGCAAGACTGTTAAACGCGGTGGACGCTTTTGAGCTCCACGATCAGCCCCGTCTTGAGAGCACCACGCTTCTCGCTAGTCAGAGTGGGAGCGGGGGGGGCTTGTGTCAAAGATTGATGTGAACTCGCGGCTGCAGGAGCAGTCGAAGCATAGCGGGAATGAGATATTCCCCTCAGTCGGCCTTTGACCTTTAAATTCGCGAAGTCGTAGCGAAGTTTTTGCTCTAGACGAACATCTTCCACACTGGCACTTGCTCTCAGGGCTACCACAGTACTGAGGTGTAGAACGCCATGCACCCAGCGTATGCAGGAATTCTCCTCTGAGACGTCATCCTCAACCTCAGACAATAAGACAAGTATACCCTTTATTGGTGGAACCGATGTGCCTTTGGCCTGCTCCAGGAGTCTTTTCTCGATACTCTCCCAAGGTCATCACAAAAGGTTTCAAATACCTTTCTTGATGAGCCTTACGGCATTCGATATCGATGGGCGTTTTCGCCTCGGGGCCAATGACCCACAATGCCAAAGTATGGCCAGCTGTTTGACGGATGCGCTATTCCACGTCAGGCGGAGTGAATGTGCATTCACGCAGTCGCTGTGATGTGGTCAGAATTTCTGACATGCGCCGTGCGCTTCTTGTAACGGGGCACCCTGAAGCTTGTACTGGTGACAGTACAAGCTACCTATTCTGATAACAGAATAAGGCGGTGCCTCGTAACTTCACGTACACTCGTACGTGCAGAGGAAGACGGTAAGAAGAAGCGAGTACTTGGTTAAAGTAAAAAGTAGAACTATATTTATAATAGTTAATGTCTGCAGTAAATCACTATTTATCTTCATCTGACTATGTCTAAATACAAATGTGTAAATCAAATATCTGCTCACCACTCATTGCGTGCGTCTGTCGTGGCGCGTATTCGTTGGTTGATGTAATGGTCTGTATCAACCAATTAGGAACTACTCGTAAGTGCTACAGAATATTCGTCCTTATGACAATATTCTGAGAATATAACTCTTATAGTTATATTCTATCAACAATTTCTTATAAATTGTTATGTAACGATTCACCCCGTTACATCACCCCCCCCTTAACCATCAGTCACTTTAGTGACTGATTGACTAAATGGATACTCGTCCCAAATCATTTGGGACAGGGTTTGCACTTGTTGGTCCGAGTCCACTTTTCAACATCTCATCGCATGGTTAACAAGCCCATGCGATGCGCGAGCAAGGCCGCCGAGAGCGCGTCTGCACATCTCTGTGCAGACGCCGAAGCAGAAACCGCAGCAAACGATGTCTCGTCGGTTGCTGAAGCGACTCAGCCTGTGTCACCTGGTGATGCAGGCGCATGTCATGAAGACACTCGTGTCTTCACAGAGTATGAGCTCGGTGTCTCATGCTCTCCTGATACGGAAGAGGGATCCGTATCGAAGGCAGCTGAAATCAAGCCGCCTGCCAAGCGTGGCATGGATGATGCTACTCGTCGTAGCATCTTCGGTTCATCTGACGAATCAGATGAACCATCGCCGAAGCGAAGGCGCTCGAGATCGCGAGACTCGGGCGCTCATCGTGGTGAAGGTTCTCCTATGGACACCACTTCGCAACGAGGTGCCAGTACTTCTGTCGGCAATCGCAGGAAGAGCGGGACCGCAGTGTCTTGCGTCTCGCTCCCGAGAAGAAGGCATGGATGCCTCCTAAATCTGTCATGGATCACTTGTCGGCGACGACGAGTGATCGTTATCGAACACGGTTGTTCGATACGTCAATGATCCATCACCTTGACCCCAGCACGAAAAACTATCGCGCTGAACATGAATTCTTCATCGATGCTTTCTTTAGACATAGATGGTACAGTGGGAATCACAAGCGTGATGGTCCGTCACTGCTTCAAGCGTGGAACGCCTACATCCATAACCTCGAGGATGTAGGTCGTGACGCTTGGAACGACAAACTTATCAAAGCTCGTGATAAGTTTGAAAAGCGAACCCCGACAGGTGCACGCTACAAGCTGCATCGTCTGTCAAGGGAGAAAGGATTAACCTGCCTCTCTTGGGGAGACTCGTGCCCATGTTGTGTGAACAACTCTGCACGAGCACCTAAGGAGGCTTACCTCTTTACCAGCCCGTGGTGGCGCGTACGTGTCTCTACTGAGATGTACGAAGGGATTGACAACCTGAAATACCTTTACGACCGTGCCGGGAAGACTTTCTCCGGCGGTCCTTCTGCGGCACAGGATGTGCCGCGTCGTACTGCTCAACCAGACCCAGTACGTCAACCATCAGTCGGGAGCGGGGCTCCCAAGTATCCTAGGACGGGGGATAGCCGCGCCACCGGACGAGGTAACTCGTCCGACGTCCGTTCACGTCGCGGTGGTTCAACAGCTGCTCAACTAGATAGCGCTGGCCACCGCGAGAGTCCTCTAATAGAGGTGGAGGAGGAGGAAAGACGCTCTCCACACAGTCGTGGGGAAGCGTGTGTTCCTGAGAGATTCTTTGATCGCGTAACGCAAGGGTTACGCGGCGATCTTGAACATGAGCGGGACAGGCGTCTCCAACTGGCGGACGCTGTCTCGAAGCATCGAGCTGAGTTTGCCTTTGCTCAGCTTGAGAACGAGAGAGCTCTGACATCTCTTCGTGACGAGCTAAGGGTAGCTCGTGGGATTGTTGATCGGTCTCGGGATGAGCTAAATGCTCTTCAGACCCTTGTCGATGCCAATCATCGGGAGCACAAGGCTCTCTGCGAGATGCTTGAGCGAAAGGGCGTTCTTCATCGGAAGAAGCAGCGTACTGATGGTACGGCTTAAGCCGACCAACGTAAAACGTGGGATGCGTTCGCATCTTACGTGGCAACTCGATCGTGTATGCATTGCCTAGGCGGTGCAATACACGAAATGGGCCGATGTACTTGGGTAGAAGTTTACTGCTACCCAAGTTAGTCACTACATGCTTTGGTAGATTAACCGTAGACAGTAGGACTAAGTCAACTTTATTAAATAAAAGAGTGTTTGCCCTTCCATTCTTGTCAGCGTTTTGCTTTTGCTTATCCACCGCTTCGGCGATGGAATCTTGCACAAAACGGACAACCGTTTCACGAGCCAGTATAAACTCATCTGATGACTCGTTAGCTTCAGTGCGCTGTGAGTCCACTGCAGCAACGTCAACCTTTTCTTCAGTGAGGGCTTCCGCACTCTCACTGGCATCATCTTCTTCGATATCGATGTTACCGATATCGGCATCAAACGCAATGACCTCTTCGTTAGAGCGTGATGAGCGTGACCAAACCGGTTTTTGCTCGCGCGAGTCCCTCCCCCCCCTAAACCAGAGTTACACTCTAGTAAGGTGGATACACGCGGATGGTGTAAGCCGTTCACGTAAAACGGTGTATGTGTCGTGGACGCATGCACCGAGTTGTTAATGGCAAACTCTACCATTGGCAAAAACTCACTCCAACTCTTAAAGGAGTATCCTCGAAGCATCTCTTCAAGGACACGATTGGCACGTTCCGTCTGACCATCTGACTCTGGATGATCAGATGTCGACATCTTCAAGCGCGTTCCGAGTGATTTGAACACGGAACGCCAGAAATCAGCAGTGAATCGTGGATCTCTGTCTGATACGAGTTCACGGGGCAACCCATGAAGTCGGAAGATGGTGTCGATAAAGACACAAGCACAGCCACTTGCCGTGACTGACTCTGGTACAGCCACCAGGTGTACCATTTTGCTGAATCTGTCAACAAATAAAAGAATACCCGTATTCATGCATGCGGCTTTGGTAACCCGAAGCCAAAATCCATTGAGATGGATTCCCAGCACTCAGCCGGAACCGGTAGAGGCGTAAAGGTGCACGCAGTGAAGGACTTGACTTCACTCGTTGGCAGACTTCGCATGCGCGAGCACACTTTCGCACAAACTGATACTGGCGGGGCCAGTAAAAGTCCCGACTCACCGTGAGATATGTTTTCTCCCGGCCACGATGATCTTCTATAGGAGCATCGTGATACTCGAACATGATCCGCAAACGCAGATCAATATCATCTGGAATGACAACATGTGGTGTGTCACCAGAAACGGCTGTATAATACAGTAAACCGCTGCGAGTAGTGTATCAATATGATGCAGATCGATACGCAGACGACAATCGTTTCAACGATTCTCGAGATGGCTGTGAGAGATGTGTCAACAACTTCACAATCTCACCAACTTGTGCGTATGCCCGCCTCAAATCATCATGCAACGTTGTAGATGGGACTGAGGACGTCATAACCGCAACAGTGACTGTCTCACTGTTGGGTTTCACGACTGGTTCAAAGTCGGGACGACGTGAGAGTGCATCAGCGACGACATTAAGTCGTCCTGGTTTGTACTCGACCGTAAAGTTGTATTCTGCAAAGAATGACAACCACCGCGCCATTCGTTGTGAAAGGTGCGGGCTGTTCACTGCCGTGCGTAATGACGCATGGTCAGTGTAAACAATGAAGGGTATATCTCCTAATAGATAGACTCTGAACTTCGCGAGTGTATGCTTCATGGCAAGGAGTTCCTTGTCATGCACTGGATAGTTCCGCTCAGCTGGTTGCAGCTGACACGACTGATAGCAGACGACGCGTTCAACGCCTTCAAGATCGTACTGCATTAATGCACAGCCGATTGCGAAATCGCTGGCATCACAGACCACATGAAATGGCCTGTCCTGATCGGCAATTGCTAGGACCGGGGTTTATATCAAGCTTTGCTTGATACCATCAAAGGAGCGCTGACGTTCAGCGTTCCATAACCACCTCTCGTTCTTTTTCAACAAACGAGAGAGTTGCACAGTCATCTCGGCGTAATTGCGTGAATACTTATGCAAATACGCCGCTAGCCCAAGGAATTTTTGAAGACCTTTGACATCAACCGGCACAGGCCAGTCGGTGATCGCCTTGATCTTTTCCGGATCAGGACGTACACCGTTCTTACCAACGATGCACCCAAGAAGTGGTATTTCGCTTGCTGCAAATATACACTTCTTGAGGTTTGCATACAAATGTTGCTTTCGCATGATTGTAAGAACCTGTCGGACGTGGTACCTGTGAACCTCAACGTCCGACTTTCCATCCATAGCCCGACTATGGGTGAATACTTCATCGAAATAACTCTGCGCGAATTCTCGTACTGGTCTCAACAGATGTGATACACATCTGTTAAACGTGGCTGGGGCTTTACTAAGCCCTTGTGGCATTACTAGCCATTCCCGGAGCATGCCGCTAGGCGTGCTTACTGCGGTATAGAGTATGTCCCGTTCTCGCATAAGGATTTGATAGAAGCCATCCATCAAATCCATGGACGAAAAGATGGTACTCTTTGACATACCATCAATGATTACGTCCTTCCTCGGTATCGGCGTCTGAGCCGGTACCGTTGCAGCATTCAACTTGTTAAATGCATGCACTATCCGCCACCCTCCTGTTGCTTTTCGCACACAGAAGGTCGGAGAGCTATGTGGGGAAGTTGATTCCCTCACATGGCCCGCAGCTAAAAGATCGGCAAAGAACTTGTCGATCGCAAGTAATTGTTCACAAGGCAGTGGCCACTGCTTTATGACACAGTACTTCGAGCCTGGTTTAAGCTCGACCTCGTGTCGAATACTTTTATCCTTCGGTAATTCGCACGGAACAGTTTCAGGTAATACATCCTTGAATTCAACCAAATCTTCATAGAGAGGATTTGTCTTGAGCGATTCCCACGATTGGGAGTCATATCGCTCAATTCGTGTCTTTTCATCTAGGACACTCTCGTCCATAGATGAACTACTGAGAACTCTCTCGTTCTCAGTAAACACTGTTGCTGATCTTATTTTGTCGGCTACACACTCGTCGTCAGCGACGAGTACGCAGATCTGCTTGACTTTTCCACTACGCAGATCACGCAAGAACCTTTTATGTTCGAGCGTTGGCAACTGAGTGATCTCCGAAGTTAACTTCGGAGGCGCAATCAGATCAAGTGTATAAGCGCCTACACTTGATCCGTTATTGACTATGACATTTAATGTCTCTGTCATTTCCTGGGGACTTATTCCCTCAGGCTTCGAAGGACTTATTCCTCCGGCTTCCCGGGAACTTATTCCCGCGGGTTTCGGGGAACTTTTTTCCGTCGTATTTGTAATCTTGGGACTTATTCCCTTAACTTCCTCTAGCTGTGGTTGCGCAACCACAGCGAGATCCTCTACGAAAGACTCTCCAGTCGATCTAGGATTATCGTTTCGCTTAACCTGAGCGATCGATTGTTTCTCTTCTAGATGTTCCCCGCTAGGGATACATCTTTGTCCCGGTCCACTCGACTTATTCGAGTGGTGGACCTTCGGCGCAGCCTGTGTTTCCTCACAGCCGCCGGAACTTTGCTCCGAAGTGTAACTGTTTGTTACACTAAGGTTTTGTGCAGTCGTACTAACGACCGTACCACAAGTGAGGCCATCGCACTCACTCGTAGTACATCCACACGCTTGTGGACGCTCCAAAACGTTCATCAGATGGCCATCTGATGAACAAGCGGCAGGCATCGTTACTGTTCGATGTTGCCAGTTTACCCGTGGTTCGTACCTTCTGAGCCACGGTATTCCAAGGATGACATCAAATTTGTCATCCAAATCCAATACGATAAAGTCATCGTCATATTGGGTATCTTCTAGCGTATAGTGGATCTTCACTATACGCTTCATGACGGTTACGGATGCGCCTGTCGCAAGACGTACCGTCATCCTCGTAGGAGGTGTGTCACATTCACTGAACTTAAAGTGACCATCTTCTAGCGATTGGCGTTGCACAAAATTGTTGTACGCCCCACAATCGACTAGAGCTCGAAGGGACAACTTATTCGTCACTTCGAGTTTCAAGGTAATGAGTGAGATCTCATTACCTAGAGCAGCAACGCACAACGTTTGTGTGTTGGGAGCACCTTCATCAAGAGGCCTACAAATTCTCTTGACATTGCTGGACCAGTAGGGTGCTCCGCACCTACTGATTCTGTCCGTTTTTTTACGTTCCATCCCGTTGTTGCGTCTTTGCGCCAACAGCGGACCCTCGTCCCTGCCCCTTTCTCATGGGTGGACGGTCATTACGCCCAGTGTTGCGAGACACTGGACGAGGGGCACTACACTCGTAAGCGTAGTGTCCTGTCTTTTGACATCTGTTGCATCTCTGCAACTTCTTGTAGCCTGTAGAGCGAGCCTTCTCGCTCTCTGCATAACAGAGTTCCACCGGCTCTGGACCTCCGCTGTCATATCGTCTCGGTTGACGATATGATGTCGATCTGGCGCGAGCCTGTCTCAGACTGAAGTCTTCCTGTTCCGCAATGGAATGGCTTGTTCTAGTGAATCTAGTTCAAGTCGGAACAGGTGAGTCTTGACGGGACCATCCGCAAGACCCTGCATGAGCACCGAAACCAACGTGTGTTCATCAACCGGGTTGGAACTTATACAACTCGTGAGATGTCGTATATGTTGCGCGTAAGCGTGCACATCACACTTACCTTGCTTGAGCTTCAAGAGTTCAGTTCGAGCTCTGAACTCAGCTCTAGGCGGTTCAAACGTTTGTCTGAGCCGCGACTTGAAGACTTCCAACGACCCAAACGCATATGGGTCGTGCAACTTGAGCCCCAGTGCCCAAGTCTTGGCACGTCCTGCCATATTTGACTGGGCAAATGCAACTTGCATATCCCCGTCGTCGATGCGACGCGCCCTTATGGCGTCATCCAATTCGACGAACCATCTCAAGAGGGAGTCCTCGTCGACCCCCCTATACTTTGATATGTCAATCTTCAAATTCTCG